ATCATAACCACTGATATTATCTCTCTCTCTCTCTTCTTTTTTTTTTTTTTTTTTTGGTTTTTGTTTTTGAGATGGGGGTTTCTTTGTGTAGCTCTGACTGTCCTGGAACTTGCTCTGTAGACCAGGCTGGCCTCGAACTCATAGAGATTAAAGGTGTACACCTCCACTGTCTGGCCTCATTTCTTTATTTTTAATAATGTGTTTATTTTTATTTTATATGCATTTGTGATTTACCTATATGTGTCTGTGTGACGGTGTCAGATCTCCTGGAACTGGAGTTACAGGCAGGTGTGAGCTGCCATGTGGGTGCTGGGAATTGAACCGGGGTCCTCTGGGAGAGCAGCCAGTGCTCTTTACCACTGAGCCCTCTCTCCAGCCCTTAGCTAATATTTATAATTACCTTCCTCTACTACCCATTCTGTATTTCCTCCACCCTCTGCAAGCACCTCAGCAGGTCTTGGCTCTTTTCCTGCAGGAGTGACCCACGCCTTCATTCCTGACAGGTCTGTGTCCTTTGTCACCCTGCTGGGATTAGGCTGTAGTTTCCCATTGACCTTAATCACAGGACACGGTAGCACCAAGAGATGCCCTGAAGGATTGCCTGCACTCCAGACATAATCTCTCTTACATCCACTGTGGAGAGGCAGTCCAGTTTCCCCCTGGTAATCCCCTCCAAACACTGTTACTCCTGTTGACTTAGAGGTATCAGAAGCACAAAGTGACCAGGGGAAGTCTGAGCTTCTGCTTCAATGGAATGTTTGTTATGTCTGCTGGCAGGAGCGCTCCCCTGTCTGGAACTAAGACTTCTAGGCCAGCAGAGCTTAATGTTGCAGGAACAGGAAGCAAGAATGTGTCTAGTGGGTCGCTAGGAGTGATAGTGGGTGAAATCACCCCCTTTCCACCCCTTGATTCCTGGACCAAGCCATGAAAACCTAGGAAGAATTTAAACTCAGAAAAGACTCTGTGGTCTAGGCCCAGGATAACCTGGGGTTAGAGTGAACCCCAAACCAAGTTTAGAGAGACAGAGCAAGGGTTAAGAAAGTAGTTCTGCCAGGAGAATGGTCTTACCCTAAGGAGGTCTGAGGAGGGGTAGATGGGGGTGCAGAGGAATGGGCAGAGCAGCTCACCTCTTGACATCTGCTCTTCCCATGCAGTTCCGCCACCTGCCGGTGCCTTTCCACCAGAGGCAGGAAGAACTCAAGTTTACCACAGCCCTAGGGAGGCTTCAGCACCGAGTAAGGGAGACCCGCCTTCTCCGAGAAACTTTGCAGCAAGGAACCAAGGCTGGACAAGGTGGGATCCAAGGCCTGGATTCCCGAGGAGTTTGGGGAGGGTTGAGAAGTGATCTTTTCTTGGACCTCTGCCTTGCGTGAACCTCCATTCATCTTATCCCCCTGATTTCTGCCTCTGCTCTCAGTGTCTCTGCACAGCTTGATAGAAACTCCTGCCAATGGCACTGGCCCAAGGGAGGTGAGTAATGGACGGGCAGGTGGACACTGAGGTCCATGTGAGCTGGAAGGATCGAGTTGACAGACACGGACTGAATGTGGGAGGGAATGGGGAGAAGGTAACGTGAGACCCTGGCTCAGGCTCCTTCTGCTGTTAGGACCTGGCCACAATGCTGCAGGGGACTGTGGGGGACCTGGAGGCCACCCAGGCCCTGGTGCTGAAAAGGATCCAGATTTGGAAGCGGCAGCAGCAGCTGGCAGGGAATGGTACACCCTTTGAGGAGAGCCTCACAGGGCTGCAGAAAAGGTGAGGGCAGGGCTGCTGGGGTGGGAGCATGCTGAGGTGGGTACCATTGTCTCTGCAGGGTGGTACACAGGTGTGAGGGAGAGGGGACTGAGGACAGTGGCTTTGAAGTAGGCCAAGACCCACAGAAGTCAGTTACTGCTTACAGCAGGAACTGAACTCCAGACTGCGTGGTTGCTCTCCACAAAGATCCTTCACACGTAGCTCAGTTGAGGAGACACAAATAGAGAGTCTGCCATAATTTCTCTCTTCAGGTCCATGTCCAGAGGAGTGAGGGGGCTGGCTTGTATGTTTGTACATTTTGTTTTGGTTTTTCTTTTCTTTTTTCTTTTTCTTTTTTGATTTTCGAGACAGGTTTTCTCTGTGGCTTTTGGTTCCTGTCCTGGAACTAGCTCTTGTAGACCAGGCTGGCCTCAAACTCAGAGATCCGCCTGCCTCTGCCTCCTGAGTGCTGGGATTAAAGGCGTGTGCCACCACCACCCAGCTTATGTATGTTTTAAGTGTTAGACAGTGTCTTACACTGTAAGATGTCCTGGAACTCACTGCAACCCTCCTGCCTCAGCCTCCCAAGTACTGGAATTGTAAATTATAGCTGCTTAGTCATCGCGCCTGGCCTGGCTTGAGAGCCCCTTTTCCATTTGGTCTGTGGGGTGGTGGCACATTGTTTTTTCCCCTAAAGGACTCAGTGCCTCAGGCACTGGAACTGTAGGAAGAGGCTGCTGGGCTCTCCACAGGGACTCTAGGTCTTGACAGTGGGCACCTCGTAGAAGCCAAGATAGGTCCTAGAGCCCCCTTGAGTCCACATGCCTACAGCTCAGACTGAGTCTGTCTACACAATACCCTGTGTTCTCCTGGGTTTAGGCTGAAGAAAACAGCCTGAATTCTGTGCCCCCTGACACAGGTGTGAAAGCCTCGTGGAAATCTACTCCCAGCTGCAGCAGGAGGTTGGGGCAGCCAGTGGGGAGCTTGAGCCCAAGATCAGGGCGTCGCTGCTAAGCCGACTGGATGAAGTACTGCGAACCCTTGTGACCAGGTAGACACTATAAGTCCCTGCTGTAAGCAGAAGCCAGGAAATGAAGGAGGCCACCTGGAGGGGACCCAGGCCCTGACACTCTCTCCTCCTCATCCTTCCAGTTCTTTCCTGGTGGAGAAGCAGCCCCCCCAGGTTCTGAAGACACAAACTAAGTTCCAGGCTGGAGTTCGGTTCCTGCTGGGTATGCAGCTCCTGGGGACCTCAGCCAAGCCTCCCCTGGTCAGGGCTGACATGGTGACAGAGAAGCAGGCCAGAGAACTAAGCCTGCCACAGGGGCCTGGGACTGGAGTGTAAGTGAAGGCTGGCCTTGGTTGGAGAAGGCCTGGGTGTGTGTGTGTGTGATAAAGGTCAGAGGAGGCTGGCTTCATAAAGGGTGGAGCTGAGGGAAAGAGACCTTTGGGGTGTGGAGTCTCTGAACTCCACTAGTCAAGGCAGAGGAAGGGAAGGGTATCTCTGTTAAGAAGAGTCATCAGGATTTGGCCAAGATGGAGACTTCTCTCCTTAAAAGCCAAGAGGGAGGCCAGCAAGATGGCACAGTGGGGGTTGTTGCGTGAGCCCGATGACACTCATTTGACTCCTAGAGTGTATGTAAAGGTCGGAGGAGAGAACTGGCTTCGGTATGAATGCACCCCGCATCTTGCCCATGTACAGCAGCAACAGCGGTAATAATAAAAGTTAAAAACACATAGGGTGGTGTAGATCAGTGGTAGGATGGGTGTTTAGCATGCCGAGGTACTGGGCTCAGTACTAGCAATATACATACATGCACACAGACACACAAACACACAGAGAAGAGAGAGAGAGAGAGAGAGAGAGAGAGAGAGAGAGAGAGAGAGAGAGAGAGAGAAGGGACATAGAGAGCCAGGGCCAGCGAAGCAGTGGTCAGCACATCCCCTGTAGAGCCTAGCTCCTCACCACAGGCCAGGCTCTTCCCACTCTGACCCCCGGCAGGGAGAGCACGGGGGAGATCATGAACAACACGGTGCCTCTGGAGAACAGCATTCCCGGGAACTGCTGCTCAGCCCTGTTCAAGAACCTGGTGAGAGGCTCTGGGGGACAGGAGGGGTACCCTCGCCTGTGTGTGGCTCTCCTTGGGAAGGATGTCCAGGGTCCAGAAAGGAAGCCCACAGAGCCTTTGTCTCTCACCCTCCCTGTTCTCCCTTCTCCTCGCCCTGGCAGCTCCTGAAGAAAATCAAGCGCTGTGAGCGGAAGGGCACGGAGTCTGTGACAGAAGAGAAGTGTGCTGTGCTCTTCTCTACCAGCTTCACGCTGGGCCCCAACAAGCTCCTCATCCAGCTGCAGGTGAGCTCTGACCCAGCCTGCCGCAGCCTGGGACCTGCTAGAGCCCCGGGTCCCATATCTCCTGTTTCTGGGATAACACACCGGGGTCAAACAGAGCTGAGAGGAAAGAGACCTGGAGGGTGCATCCAGGGAACAGCTGTGTAGCAGCCAAGGCTTTTGTTTGTCTTTTTTTTTTTTTTTTATTAAAGATTTCTGTCTCTTCCCCACCGCCGCCTCCCCCTCCCCCCTTTTTTTTGTTTGTCTTGCTCACCTTGTTGAGGCAGGGTATCATGATGTAGCCTATGTTGCCTTTGGACTCTTCTTTAAATATTATCATCGTTATTGGGGGGGGTAGCATGTCCATGTCACAGAGCACATGTGGCGATCAGAGGACAACCCTTCTACTTTTTTAAAAAAAAAGATTTATTTATTATGCATACAACATTCTGCCTCCATGTATGCCCATATGCCAGAGGAGGGTGCCAGATCTCATTACAGATGGTTGTGAGCCACCATGTGGTTGCTGGGAATTGAACTCAGGACCTCTGGAAGATCAGCCAGTGCTCTTAACCTCTGAGCCATCTCTCCAGCCCAACCCTTCTACTTTTATGTGGGTTCTGGGGGTTCTGGAGCTCTAACGGGTCACCAGGCTTGTGCTGCAAACACTTTTTACCCATTGGGCCCTCTTACTGACCCTCATCTCTTTTTCTCGTTTTATTTTACTTCACTCCTTTCCTATCTCCTCCCTCCCTGCCACCCTCCTTCCTTCCTCCCTCCCTCCCTCCCTCCCTCCCTCCCTCCCTCCCTCCTTCCTTCCTTCCTTCCTTCCTTCCTTCCTTCCTTCCTGTTTGTCTGTCTGTCTTCTTCTGTAGTCCAGGTTGGCATTAAACTGAAGACCCTGCCTCAGCCTCCCAAGAGCCAGGATTGTAGCCCTAATGCCAGCACTCCCGCCTCTGTAACTCTTACCCGTGTTTTATGTGCAAACGGAAATCACAAGCACATACTTTTTCACATACACATGCACATTTGCCAACAACTTGTTATAGAACAGGGCACTATTTCCAGTGATATCCAAGCACGCACGATCTGCTGGTTTTGTCTCAGGGTTACTATTACTATGATAAAGACCATGGCCAAAAGCAACTTGGGGAGGAAAAGGCTTATTACACTTTACTTTTCCAGGTAATGTCCATCACTGTGGGAAGTCAGACAGGAACTCAAGCAGGGCAGGAACCTGGAGTCAGGAACTGAAGCAGAGGCCATGGGAGAATGCTGCTTACTGGCTTGTTCCTCATGGCTTGCTCAACCTGCTTCTATACACCATGACTACCTGCCCAGGTGTGGCTCCACTTACAATGAGCTAGGCCCTCTGACGTCAATCACTGATTAAGAATGTGCTCCACAGGCTTGCCTACAAACCAGCCTTATAGAGGCATCTTCTCAACCGTGGTTCCCTCTTCTCAGATAACTCTAGCTTGTGCCAACAAAAACCCAACCAGGACATATTTCTAGACAGCAGTACAAGATAGGTTCTATTAGCCTTGATTTACAGATGATGACATTGGGTCATGGATTCGGTAGTTTGCCCAGGTCATACAGCTTCTAGGCACTGGGATTGGTATTTGAAAGTCTGACTTTGTCACATTGACTTGTAACTGCTTCTCTACACTGCTGTCCTCATTGAGCAAGTGTCCAGTGATGTCCACCAGCCTTTAACTATGTCATGTGAACTCCCCAGTGTACTGGAGTGACACACTGCTCTTTGAGGACACTCTGTCTCCACTAAGGATAAACTTCTCTCCCCACCCCTTAGGCCCTGTCTCTGCCCTTGGTGGTCATTGTCCACGGCAACCAAGACAATAATGCCAAAGCCACCATTTTGTGGGACAATGCCTTCTCTGAGGTGGTAAGCAAAGACTCAGAGTGGGAGATGGGGCAGGGTGGGTTCTTATGCAGTAAGATGGAGCCGTCCTGGCTGGTGAGTGGAAGGCATGTCTTTCTGGTGGATCTGCTTCTGTGCTTTCCATGCTGGTTATATATACAGCCATCAGGCCAGGGCACCACAAACAGCCGCTGAGAAACCCCTGTTTGTGAGCCAGCTTGAACAGCACTGCCGCCACCGCTCAGGGAATTGGGAAGAACTTGGGAAGAATGGAGGCTACCAGGGGAGGACTGGCCACGCCCCCTCTCTCCTTCTTTTACCCAGGACCGCGTGCCTTTTGTGGTAGCTGAAAGAGTGCCCTGGGAGAAAATGTGTGAAACCCTGAACCTCAAGTTCATGGCTGAGGTGGGGACCAACCGGGGGCTGTTACCAGAACACTTCCTCTTCCTGGCCCAGAAGATCTTCAATGACAACAGTCTCAGCATGGAAGCCTTCCAGCACCGTTGTGTGTCTTGGTCACAGTTCAACAAGGTCATTTCCCTGTCCTTTCAATTTCCTACCCCAAGTTCTTCATCTTTCGGGCACTAAAGACCTCCCTAGCCTCCACCCAGGGACAGACTTTTAGGGTCTTCATGGTGCTACCATCATGTGGCCCAGAGAGCAAACTTCCCATTCTGTGGCATTCTCTGACATCCCTCAGTTTTGGTCTGCGGGCCTTGTCCTTTTTTTTTTTTTTTTTTTCAGTGATTTGTATGACTCAGTCCAGTTATGTGCAAACAGAACTCTGCCTTGAAAAATGACTTTGACCCATTAGGAAAATAGTCTATTGCAAAACGTGGGTGAAATCGTACAAGACTCTGTGCGGCAGAACTGCTGCCTGTGCTGACAGCTTACTACATGCCAGGCATGGGTTCACACTATGTGTGTTAACTACCTTAATCTGCCCAACATCCCTTTCTCGTAAGGAGGTGTTATCTCTGTCTTTCACAGATGATGAGTCTGTGCTTAGTGAGGTCCCATAGTTTGTTCAGGTCTCATAGCAAGAGACACACTAAGGTGGAAACCCAGGTTTCTTTTGAGTTAAGGTCTTGCTACTATGTAGCTCAGGCTAATCTCAAACTCACTGTGTTGCCCAGGCTGGCCTTGACCTCAAGTTCCTCCAGTCTTAGCTTCCTAGGTACAAAAATTTACTGAATCGCCATGCTCAAGGAGAGTCCTGCATTTCTTTTTTCTTTCTTTCTTTCTTTCTTTCCTTCTTTCTTTCTTTCTTCCTTCCTTCCTTCCTTCCTTCCTTCCTTCCTTCCTTCCTTCCTTCCTTCCTTTCTTATTTTTGTTTTTGTTTTGAGAAACCTGCCTGGAACTCGCTTTGTAGACCAGGCTGCCTCTGTCTCCTGAGTGCTGGGATTAAAGGCGTGCACCACCACCATCCACTGAGCCCTGTATTTTTACCTTTCATATTAGCTCCTGTGTTTTTCTGTCTCCAAAATAAGGTGGCTGGGGACTGAGTCAGTCAAGAACACAGAGAAAGGAGCGCTTGTCTCTGCCCTTGGTGGTCACTAAGCACAGCCACCAAAAGAATGCTAAACTTGCCAGCCTCTCGTGTACAGTGACTTCCCCTGGATCCCACTTTAGGTCTTCCTCTTTCAAACAAACAAACAAAATGGGGGCGGGGAGAAGCTCACGTGACCAGAGAATGCATTACTGAAGGGAACAGAACAGCAGGACAGCCCTGAAGACAGAGTTTAGCACAGTGATTAGGAGGGGCTCCTGTGCTAGACTGCTTGACTTGAATCTCCACTCTGTCCTTCAGTGTGGACCCCGGGAAGTCACTTACCCTTCTCAGCATCCATTTAGCTGTTGTGATTGTTATGCTATATCCAGAATTATTGTTATATCCAAATAAATTACTATACAGAAAAGCCCAAAGGAATGCCTGATGTAGTCAAGGTAAGTGGTCGCCATTGATGGTCCTCTTTGGTCCTCAACCATTGACTCTCACACTCTCTGCTCTGTGCTTGCTCCAGCTCTGCCCCTCTCCCGCTCACCTCTGCTCTGCTCCACCCTTCAGGAGATCCTGTTGGGCCGTGGCTTCACTTTTTGGCAGTGGTTTGATGGTGTGCTAGACCTGACTAAACGCTGTCTCCGGAGCTATTGGTCAGACCGGTGAGTCCTTGGCCCCAGGCGGCCCTGCACCTGTGCCCGCGGCTCCCTCTCTGCACCCGGTGTCCACATCCACGTCTCCTCCTTCACTCTGCCCAGGCTGATCATCGGCTTTATTAGCAAGCAGTACGTCACAAGTCTTCTCCTCAATGAGCCAGATGGAACTTTCCTCCTCCGCTTTAGTGACTCTGAGATCGGGGGCATCACCATCGCACACGTCATCCGGGGTCAAGACGGTGAGTCCCCACAGCCAGCCCTGGCTATCCTGACGTCCACCCGATCTTTAGGAAGTTCTTCCTTAGGTCTGACTCCTTACCCTCCTCCTGTGGTCTAACCTTCAACTCCCATAGCAATGGAGATGAATGGGTCTCCTTCATGCAAGACTTGTACCTTAGGCCTTCTCTCACGTGTCATCCTTGGTGGACTGTGACTGGGTCTTGTGTGGGGTGGGGGAAAGAGACGTTGGGACATAGGAGTCCTTAGGGTCTTACTCCTCTTGTAGGCTCCCCACAGATAGAGAACATCCAGCCATTTTCTGCTAAAGACCTGTCCATTCGTTCACTGGGGGACCGAATCCGGGATCTTGCTCAGCTAAAAAACCTCTACCCCAAGAAACCCAAGGATGAGGCTTTCCGGAGCCACTATAAGCGTGAGCGGGCCATTCTGATTCCCCCTGCCTCCTGCCACTCACTTCCTCCCTGACTGCTGTGTGTCATCCCTGTCTTCCCTCCCATTCTGTAGCCCCACCTCCACCTATCCATCAGCCTTCCTCCTCTCCACCTCCTCGAGAGTTGGGTGCACCTCAGTTCCCCTTTCCTTTCCACCACAGCCGAGCAGATGGGGAAGGACGGGAGGGGCTATGTCTCAACGGCCATCAAGATGACTGTGGAAAGGTGAGTGTGATGGTATGGGTCGTGGGTGGGGACTGGGGGCTGGTACTTACCTGCAGGAAGGGAGTGGCCTTTGTCAGTCACATGTACTTCCTTCTCTTTTAGGGACCAGCCTCTTCCTACGCCAGAGCCCCAGATGCCCACCATGGTGCCCCCGTATGATCTTGGAATGGCCCCTGATAACACCATGCAACTCAACCCAGATATGGGGTAAGGAGGCTGAGAGACAAGGAGGGGGCTGACTTTCAGAAGAGAGACGGGGTGTGGGCTTGCCAGGGGAAGGGCTTGCACCTGTCTGCTTTCTTTCCTCAGGTACCCTCCACCGTCTCATCCCATCCACTCATTTCAAAGCCTCCCCATAGAAGAGTCAATCAATAACGTACTTCCAGCCTTTCCGGAGTAAGTCACAGCCTGGGGAGGATGAGGTGGGGCAGCATCTGATCACAAGCAGTGGGTGGTGAGGCTTATGTGGGAACGGCAGCACCGCTGACCCCAGCCTTTGCCCGTCCATGACAGTGATGCCTAAGATTCAGATCGCTGGGGTTTGAGTTCCGGCTTTGCCGACTTTGTATTGGTTACCTAGCCCTCGGCGAGGATGATAGTAATGACATTCTCTGTTGCACAAGGGAATACACTTATTGTTATGATCCCATGAGTTCATAATGTGTGAGGCTGAGCTGAGAGTTTGTAGCGAACACAGTTAGCGTATTCTCTCCTGCCTGTGAGATTTACGGTGCCTTATGTGCTGTGTGTTTGCTTGGCATTTGTGCCGCTGGGGGCTGAGCTCAGGGCTCAGGACTGAACACATGGCCCATGCTGAGTGTGTGCTCCGCCACTAAGCTGCATGCCAGGAGTTGTGATGATTTTTGTTAACCTTCATGATCCCTGAAATGGCCTAGACCTTTCTCTTCCCCAAGAAGCATTAAGTTGCTTAATCAGCTCTTATTGAAGGGCTTTTCTCTCTTCCTGGGAGTTGATGTGGAGTAGCCCTAGGAAATTGAGCCATAGTTCAGTCTAAAGAAACATTGGGCCAGGTGGTGGTGGTGCACGTCATTAATCCCAGCACTCAGGAGGCAGAGACAGGTGGATCTCTGTGAGTTCGAGGCCAGCCTGGTCTACAAGAGCTAGTTCCAGGACAGGACAGGAACCAAAGCCACAGAGAAACCCTGTCTCAAAAAAACAAAAAAAAAAAAAAAAAAAAAAAAAAAAAAAAAAAAAAAAAAAAAAGGGGGGGGGCTGGAGAGATGGCTCAGAGGTTAAGAGCATTGCCTGCTCTTCCAAAGGTCCTGAGTTCAATTCCCAGCAACCACATGGTGGCTCACAACCATCTGTAATGAGGTCTGGTGCCCTCTTCTGGCCTGCAGGCATAAACACAGACAGAACATTGTATACATAATAAATAAATAAATATTAAAAAAAAGAAAGAAAACTAAAACAACAAAACAAAACAAAAACAAAAGGAACAGTGTAAATTGAACATACACACATGATTTTTCCATTTTTCTGGGGAGAAATGAGATCCAGGAAGCACAGAAGTGACTTGCTGAGGAAATGCTAGTCAGTGAAATGCTAAGTCAGGAGAAGGCCCAGCGCCTTGTCTCCTGACTCACTGGTCTTGATTTTGCAATACTCTCCCTCTTTCCTTCCTGCTTCCAGGCCTCACCTGCAAATGCCCCCCAACATGAGCCAGATGAGTTTACCCTTTGACCAGCCTCACCCCCAGTAAGTGACCTCTCCTGACCCCATCATCCCCATGCTGCCGATGCCTACCCCTCCTAATGGTCTCTTCTGACCCCTGGTAGGAGCCTGCTGCAGTGCCAGTCCCAGGAGCATGCTGTATCCAGCCCCGAACCCTTGCTCTGCCCAGATGTGACCATGGCAGAAGACGGCTGCCTAACTCAGTCTGTGGGAGGTTTTCCCCAGGGCCCCTGGTGAGTGGGAGCCTGGGAGTGAGGGCTGGGAGGACGGGTGCTGAGCCCGCTCCACTACTTTTCCTTCCTCCTTGCAGGGTCCGTGAAGACATGTTCCCTCCCCTGCTGCCTCCCACTGAACAAGACCTCAACAAGCTGCTCCTAGAGGGCCAAGGGGAGGCAGGAGGAGGATCCTTAGGGGCCCAGCCCCTCCTGCAACCATCTCCTTACGGGCAGTCTGGGATCTCAATGTCCCACATGGACCTAAGGACCAACCCCAGTTGGTGATCCCAGCTGGAGGAGCCCGGACACAGAGCCTCTTCTATGGACCTGCTCTGACACCTGCCCTTGCGGGTGCCTCCCGTCTCCAGCTGTTCCTTGGTCAGGAGGAAAGAGCTGGCTGGGGGAAGACACGGCGCACGGAACCACTGCACTCTGTCCTTCCTGCCACATCAGGGTCCCTTTTCCAGCACAAGGGCCAAAGGGATGTTCAGGCTCTAATGTGGTAACAGGCACCTGCGTGCCTGCATCACAACACACACACACACAAGGACCAGAGCACACTGAGCAGGAGGGGACTAGGCAAGCACCAAGGGCTCCTGTGTTGAGCTAGGGCCTGGGACACACATGCAGAAACACATAGACTCTGTGCCATGGACAGGGGGCATAGACCTAGGGCACTGAAGCAGGGGTTCAGGAGACCCTGGGTGGGAGGAAAGAGGGTGTAGGTATCGGGTTACTGGTATGGATTTTGCCCAGATTAAAAATCAAGTTCCTCCAAAGCTCCAAATTCTTGCCAAAAAAAAGAGGCTCTGTGCCAGTTAGGACTGCCTCACAAGAGCTAAGCTTGTGTGTAGCCGTGCCAATGTTACCTATAAATGTCACACATGAACTATATGGCCGCACAGAACACATATCTCCGCTTTTGCCTATGCGGCGACACGTATTTGAAAAGCTGAGACACTGTAATAAGAGTACCCCAACGCCATTTGGGGTGTAACTGTGGCTCTGACGTGCATATAGCCTTAGTGACTCAGTGCTTCCTGTGTTTCCTAGGGTCTAAGGACTGAGTGGTACAGGGCTTGCTGTGTAACGCCCTGGGCTTCGGGGGCCCTAGCTGCTGTTTCTCTCGTATTTTTCTGTCCACTGCCGGCTTCTCTCCACTCTCACATCTCATGCGGTCCCTTTTCCCTCACTGGGGGGGGGGGGGCAGCGGGGGTCATGGATCCTAAGCCATAAAATAAATTTTATTCCAAAATAACAAAATAAATAATCTACTGTACACAATCTGAAAAGAAAGACACTTTTCTAGGAGTCTGACAGGCGCTGCAGTCCTGCCGGCCTGAGGAGACCCAGGGTCCAACCCAGGCCTCTAAGGGGCCGGTGGAGGGGACTGTGGGGAACCTCACAGCTGGGAGGGGGGCGATGACAACGGGGGGGGTGTATGTGGGCAAACCGCAGCACTTGTTAAATTAAAGAAACAAACTAGAAGCACAAAAAATGGGGAGGGGAGACCCAGCTTTCCCAGGCCCCAAGTCTCCGGGCAAACGGTGCCGTTTCCGGTTGCTAGACCTTCCCAGGAAGTTCTTTCCCCACGTCCCACTGGCGGCCACCTGGAGAATGGGTGTGTGTGGTGAGGGAGGGAAGAGCCCCAGCAGGCTGGAGGCGAAGTCCGTGCCCCTGAGCCGGGTGAGGGCGCACCTTGCACCCTCCTAGTGTCCTCTGGCCAGGCCCCTGCTTGTTATTGCTTGAAGCCCCATAGTCCTGTGCCCATGGGGCAGAAGGGCAGCAGAAGGATCCTTCTAGGGCGGTGACTGGAGTTCGAGGATGGACAATGTGGGGGGTCTAAGTGAGCCAGAAGCCCGGGGTCCTGGGTCTGAGACATCCCCACTTTCACTGCCGGCTGGCCTCTGCCTCCACTTTCACGCTGCTCCTGCGACCCTCCACCAGAGCGGGATGAGGTCCTGGGGCTGGGCAGCGGTCCAGCAAGCCTTCCTCGAATTCTGTAAGAAAAAGGTCTAAGTTAGGAGACAAGGATGGTGACTGAGCCAAAGGGTTGTTCTGTGAGGCCAGGCACAAGAAAATGCGAAGACCGCTCCATTTACTCAATTACTGCCTCCTGCCCACTGCGTGTGTATGGGGGTTCCATACCCAAGTGTATGTAGCTCCCCCTCCTATTTTGGTTGTGTGTAGCTCTCTGTCTCTGTGTGTCTCTCTCTTTCTGTGTCTCGCCCGCCTCTGCTCTGCTGGAATTTCTGGTTCTGTCAGGAGCTGCGGGGGCGGCTTGGCTCTGACCTCTCCCCCTCCCCCTCCCCAGGCTCAGCCACCCCCACTCATCTCTGATCCCCTCCCAGGCCTCACCCACCCTACAAATAACCCCCCTCCCCAGTTTTTGGTAGCCAAATCAGGGGAAACACAGGAAGCTAGACTCCCAGCTTCTCCCTCAAGAAAAGCCCCCCCCTCCAGTCCCCGCCCCCACTTCCCACCCACGCACAGTTTAAAAATACCAAGCCAGGGTTGGTGGCTTTGTCTGCTGCGTCACTCTCAGCCCAGCGGCTGCCCGGCCCTCTGCCGGCCCACTCCTTTCCTATCCACACACAAAGCGCCCAGCTTTGGGCTCCTTGGCTTCCAAGCTGGGGAACCCTATCCCCACAACTCCCCGCGACTCCCCCCCCCCCCCCCGCATTAGGCAGTTCTAGCGAGGCTTCCCTTACTGCTGACTCTACTGTTCACCTTCACCCCTCATTCTGTTCCCTGCTCCTCCTCCCCCCCCTCAGAGATTCCCCACCTGGGTCAGACCCTCCCCATTTTGAACAACCCGGCAGTAGCTTGCCCCTGCTCAAGGTCTGGCTAGCTTAGAGCCCCTCTACTGTTCTGACAGCCATATAGGATCCCTCTTCCTCCCCTCTGGTCCTAGAAAATGAGGACCCTTGTGTGGGCCTGAGTAGCTGGGGTGTTTAGGGACAGCACTGCTGGCTGCCTCACCTGCGAGAGGCGGCTTTGCAGGCACACAGGGGCTGAGGCGGCCCACGCGATCATGGGAGACGAGGCGGGCGAGCCGCAGCCCCTCATCCATCAGTGTCTGCTGCAGGATGTGGCGGCTCCATAGCCCATGCGCTGGCAATGCCAGGGGCAGGTCAGCAGGGGGCGGCGTCAGCCTTGGGCACGACCCCACAGCTGTGGGCATGGGCACTGGTCAGGTCAGGGGCTGCCGCCAACGGTACCCACCCTCAACCGACAAGTCATTCCCATAGGCTCTTCTGCCCCCATCCAGCCAGACCTCCCAGCCCTGTTCCAGGCAGTTGACTCCTGGCTCACTCCTGCAACCCACCCGCCCACTCCCACCTCCCCAAAGAGATGAAAGGCACTCACCCTGCAAGTGGCCATCTAGGCTCTCCCCAGACAGACTGGCGCTGTCCTCCTCTAGGCTGGGGCGGTATGGGGGTGCATAGGACTCGGTGCCTGGGGGAGGCTGCTGGATTTCAGTATGACTCTGTTCCCCAACCTGTGGATGCCCAAAAGTGGGAAATGAGGACCTAGCAAGGCAGTGGTTGAAGTAGGCTGTCCTTTCCTGTCCCTTCTGCCCCCCAAAGCATACCTCTTGTTTCAGTTTCTTCAGTGGTGGGCCTCCTAATTCTTCAGAGTGAAGCCTAGGAGAATAAGGAAGGTGGTGGGCTTAGGGCCCAGAACACACAGGGCACACAATCTGTCCAGAAAACATGCATTACTTAAAAACTCCACGAAGAAGTGGGCTGGACAGGCATCTCTGTTATTGTGGGGGGTTGGGAGTAAAGAGGCCTCAGACAAGTTGGCAAGAGGAAGACTTGCAGGTGGGCGGGAAGCAGGCCTAGAACTGCCTGAGCCGGGAGTGGGGAGACAGCCAGGTCCTTGGCAGGAATCCAACCAGAGGTGGCCCAGGGAAAGGGGGTCTCACCTGGATCCCTTCAAGGAGGAAAGATAGGTGCTCTCTCGGGCTACTTGGCGGGACAGGGAGAAGAGTTCCACCCTTCGAAGTAAAAGCGTGTTGTCTCTCATGCAGAACTGGGCAGCAGCCTCATTGATGGTGAGCTGTGGCAAGAAGGCAGCCAGTGTGAACCCCGATTCTCCCACTCTTCTACCCCTTCACCACCAAGGGAGGCCCATCCAAAGGATGCTTGCTTTAAATAAACCCAGAAACTTCCTGAGTCTAGAAGGAGGGACTCCTAGCTTCCTGACCAGGGCCTCCTTTATTTCTGGGGGACTTGGACAGCACAGGGCTGAGCAGTCGGGCTCACTGCTCTCTCGGCTTCCCCTTCAGCTGATGGAGGCAAAGCAGCAGCTGGGGCTGGGTGTGTGTGGGGGGAACTTGAGTGGCCAAGGGGACAATGGTCCAGAGTTTGAGAAGGCAAGAATTCTCAGAGGCAAATGGACTGAACCCCAGGAGTTAAGGGCAGTCCTGAGGACCCAGGCCTCACCTCAGAGGCAAATGGATTGAACCCCAGGAGTTAAGGGCAGTCCTGAGGACCCAGGCCTCACCTCATGCAAGCTGAGTTGCTTGCCCTCCCGCCGTTTGGAATCCAAGCGGCCATAGATGATGCTGTACTTTCGGATTTCTTCTTCTTTCTGGCTGTCATTGTCATCCATCTCAAAGATGTGGCCCACACTCCGTGCCAACTTCTTATTGAGCTTCAGCAGGGATGTGACCTCTCCAGCATCACCCCTGGGGAAACTCCGGAAGATCCGCTCCACACTCTCCACCACCATCCGTACCATCTCTGGTTCCAGGCGATCTGGGCCACCCCCAGTCCCACCTGCAGCCATCCCCCCAGCCCCAGTCCCCTCAGGGACTCCTCCCCCTGCAGGTGGGGAGAAAGGGGGTGACCCAGCCTCCTCTTCTCCTCCTGCTCCAACATCAGATTCTGGAGTGCTCTGGCCTGGCCAGATCCGGGGATCCCCTGCCCCAGGTCCTCCAGGCAGTGGTGACAGCTTCTCTCCAAGTTCAAGGGGACTCTTGGGGCTGAAACTTCGGGCACTGCCTGCCTTTTCGCCTGGGCTGCCATGCCCATTGCTCATGCTCCCTTTCCGGGTACCGGCTGTCTCAGAGATCTTGAAAAGTGGGATGCTGGAGACAGGTACGGCAGGCACTGGCTGGCTGAAGAGCCCTGGGTTGGTGGCCCATTCTCTCAGAGCCTTCTGTAGACGTCGGACATGGAGTGGTTTGGTGGCCATGCCCACAAGCGCCATGATTTCCAGGAACTCCTCCTCACCCGCTTCACACAGCTGCTGCACATCGTCCCCTCCCTGCTGGATGAAGGTCTCGTAGTAGGAAAGGAGGTTGGCACGCTGCAGGACCCGATACAGCTGCAGCTCACCCAGTGTTCGAGGCAGTGCCATGGTTGGGGCACTTGCCCTGAGAAGGAAGGGCAGGAGAGAGGCAGTGAGTACAAGTGCCACTGCTGGGTACCAACCCACACTAACAATTGTCCTCTCTTTTCTGCCTCCTCCTCGTCCCTTCTCTCTTTTGAATGCTTTCTCTGCCCAGTGCCCAAGGCTGAGCACTTTGGGAACCGAGCATCGCTCAGAGGCATAACCATGCCCATGCGGTCCCAGACTAGCCAGAAGCACCAAAAGCCAGCGCCCTATCTATAGCTATCGGGAAACCCTTACCTCAACTTTTTTCTTGATCTTTCTGGTCGGGGGCAGCACAATCCTGAACACCGAGGCCCACTAGCACTTCTCTGAAATGACTAGACCCACTTTCACCCAAATTATAGCCCTTACTTTCCCCCTAAAAACTCAGTAGCCTCAGCATTACTTAACGTAACATCCCACATTAAAGTTAACTTAGGAAACCGGGGCTACTCCTTGTCCAGGTAGCTGAGAGGGAGGGGTGTGGCCTCTTCCTTGGCTTTTCGGTGAAGATAATGGACCCTTGCTCCTCTGCCTCAGTTTACTGCGACTGGAAGTTACTGCACCCTTCTAGTATCTGCCCCAACTTTCCAGGCTGTCCAGTACCCTTCAGTTGCTTCCTTCCCTCCTTTAGTGCGGCCCTTCCCACTATTCAGCAAGCCCTTCTCTTCTTCTCAGGCAATGGGGGAGGGAAGCCCCGATTGTTCTGCTCTGGGCCCGTTCTTCCCACACACTCCTACAGTGGCAGCGTCTGTGGGCGAAAACCGCCTGAGGGCTCCCGCCTACTCTTGTCTCCCTTATTTTCCACACTAATCTTCTAAAGGCAGTGCGGAAGCAGCTGAAGGCCTCTTGAGGAAGGGGCTGCACACGGAAACTACCCCTCCCGACACTGTGGTCGGTTAATGGAAAGGGACGCCTGAAGCACACCCCCCTCAAGGCCCAAAGATGCTCCCTTAGCCCAAATGAACCACTTTCTCTCGAACCTAGGGATGGATCGCTACCTTCTAGTGACACACTGAGCCAGCTAAGCGCCCCCACCCCTCGCACTGTTGTCAGATGAAGATCTGGAGCTTCCCCTGGCGCCTAGGGACATTCTTTGCAGGGGGCTCACCTGCCAGGTCATGCCCACTGAGCAAGTCTGGAATGGAAAAGGAGGCAGTACTCTATCGTATTCAGGTTCGTCGGGTCTTTGTTAACTCCCAAGATCCCGCAATTCGAACACTCACCCCCTTTTCCATCAGTCTCCACCTCCCACCCCCGTGCCGCTCCCCCATGTCCTTTTTTCGACCTCCACCCTCCGGACTCCATTCCCGAGTCCAGCTCCACCCATCTCCACTCCCCGACACCTCCTTTTGCCCACTAACTTGAGTCTGGGCTGAGGGGTCCGGCGAGTGTTATCTCCTCTGCCAGGTGGCTGCTCCGCTGTGGGAGAGGGCACTCTGTGCATGGACGTCCAGAGATCACCCGTGCCTCCCTTCTCTGTTCCCGGCGCCTGCTGCGCGCTGCGCTTTGCCTGGTGCGCGCCTCCCCGGTCCACCGCTGTCCAGGCTCCGTCCCTCCCTCCACGTCTCCTCTCTCCGAGCCTCCGCGCCTCTGTGTGCCTCTGCCCCCACCTCCCCGGCTGCGCTTGCCGCCTCTCCGCGCCTCCTCCCCCGCAGGACGCACGGGGAGCGAGGCCGGGCGCTGCGCTGGCTGCCGGGCTGGCGGGAGGAGGGCGTGGGCAGAACCGGGGGCTGAGACCGGAGGCGGGGGGGTGGGGTGTAGGAGCCGAGGCCTCTGGGCCTCCGAGAGGCTGCTGCGGGGACTGGGAGGAGGGGATTTGGGGTGGGGAGGAGGTGTGGAGCAGGAGGCGGAGGCGGGGACTCGAGAGTCGGGCGCCAACTTGGGGACCGAGGTGACCGAGGCCGGGCTGTGGAGGGGGGGGGCAGCTTGGGGACCCAACGGGCGGGGCAGGTCGCTCCGTGCCGCCCACGCCGGATGCACAGCCGGCCCTCTCTGCGCCCACGTACCCACGTGAGCACCCCGCCGGCTACATTCCTACTCCCTGCACCACTCCTACCCCTGTGAGCCGAGAGTGCAGTTTCACAACCACGCACAAGTGTACAAAGACATTGAAGCGCACATACGTGCACACGCGTCTAAACAACGACACGGACGCCCGTTGCCCACACTCCGGCCGCGCTGTGCCGTTCATTTGAATGCTAGAAGTGAGCGGAGAAAAGTTGGCGAAGGCTCGAGTGTGCAGTTTCTCCTGCTCGGCTCCCCTAGAACGCACGTTTAGGGTTAAACCTGTGAGCGTCAGGCTGCGCAGGAATCCTTACGGAGTCTCAACGGCCTTCTCTGGCCCTAAAAGCTGTAATTTGAAGAGACGGCCCTCCAGAAACCTTGGTCGCCTGCCCCCGCCCCCGCATCTAGTTGTCGAAGTTTAATAGGTGGGTTATACTAGAAACTACAACTTACTCAAGCATCAACTAGGCACGTCGGGTTTTGCACGGATGGGGATACAATGCTTTCCTCTACAGTGGCACCCTATTTTCTGATGCCCAGGCCTTATTGTTTGGACGATTTTTTCTGGCAAAGCCAGGAAAAGGCGGCTGCCTTCTCTGGGGTCATATGTTATCGGACATCTCAGGACAGAGTGATGGAAAGAGAGCAAGAGGCTAGGTATGAGTCTACGAGACAGCCCACCATGCAGAACGGCTTCAAGGAGCCCAACCCCCTCCGTTTCTTCCAGCCCCATCTGGCTCCCATTACACACGCCCACGGCTAGGAGGGTTGGGGGGTGGATTGGGCACGCGGGGGCTGTGTAGGCCTTGGGGAAAAGGGTGGTGGGAAACGTGGCGGACTGGCCAGAGGCAAGGTCCCTTTAGTTCGAAACCTCAGCTCCGCCCCTCTGTTCCGCACTTGTGAGTGGCTTGCCCTGGAAGGGCGTGGGAGGCGTGGGCCGGGGCGGGTTCTACATTCCAGATTCATTCCAGACTGGCGGGGGAATCTCTCGGTTTCCAGTAGAGGGATGGGTACTTTATCGAGGAGGAACGATTTCAATAGCTAAGGTTTTTGTCTTCATCCTATCAAACGCCCAACATAGTAGAGATATTAGGGAGTACACCCTTTCTTCCGGTGCCCTTTGCTGGTGTGGAGGGCCCAACTAGATGGCCTCCCTTGGAGGTACTCCGGATCCCTTCGGGGTGTGTGGCGCCCCTCCCCCACTCCCTGGTCCGGTTATTTTGGAGTCTGGGCTGCTAGCGCTGGCCCCGGGTTTCCTCGTGCCCCCGCCCTCCCCCTGCCCACGCTCCCCGTGACGCACATCCTCCGCCCACGTTGCTTATGCTCCAAGCACCCCCATCCCTCCCACAGACCCCCTTGGGGTGGCACTGAGTCCTGGGGTCTGGAGGGAGAGGGCAGCTTGTGGAGCGGAGTGGTGAAGGGTAGGGCTTGAAAGGAAACTGGAGCTTACAGTGAGCCTGGTCCAGGTCCAGGAAAGAGGATGATGGAGGGAGAAGCCGATTCTAAGGCCTTCGCTTCCCGATTTGGGATCAGAAAAGGAGAGAAGACAGATTTCGTTGAGACACTTGTCCGGGTCCCGATGCGAATATGTGTGTGAGAGTGAAACTACCGAGTGTGATTGGTAGCTTTGTTTTTCAAGACTTGCCATGAGGTTTAAGTAGAGACTGTGGAAACTGCCAATTGTAGAACGCCAGTCAGGTTGAGGACTATTGGCAGTATTTTGAGTTTATGTGTTTGTTTCTTTATACCTACTTGTATATCTGCGTGTCTGTAGGATTGTATCCGAGTCTCTATGTGTATTTTAAAATACATACATTAAAAAAATACAAAAAGCAACATCGACTTGTCAGGCCCCACCAGCGGCCCAGAGCGCCCCCGCAGCCCGCAGCCGGAGCTGCTGAGATGTCTGTTCTTCGTTTTCCTCCCACGGCTACCACCCCCACATACCCGCCTACTCTCTTCCGCTGAGAACAAGGAATTTCCAGCCTTTAGCAAAATGTGTGTGTGCGCTTGCTTGCTTGCACAGACAGGTGTGTGTTGGGGGTTGACAAAAGGGGAATAGGGACATCATCATCATCATCATCATTATTATTATTATTATTATTATTTTGCCAATTTCATTTTCTGCCTGTACTCTCAACTCTCAAGACATCTTTGCCTGTTTCCTCTGCTCTCCCACCCTCAGTCTCAACGGCAGAATAGAGCTTCTGATATCATTTACCCAAAGTTTAAGGTTCTCTTTGTTGTCCAGAGCGGTCTGTTCTAGGAAAGGAAACAGTTTGTATCTCCAGTCGTAGATCTTAAGGGGAAGGGTGGATGAGACCGAGGAAGGGAGAGGGTGGGTGGAGGAGGAGTGAGGATGGTGCGTGCCAGGATTGTCTTCTCAGGCACGTGGAGATTTTCATCTAGCAGATTGCTCCGCTCACTCCTCCCCCCCCCCCCCCCCCCCCCCCCCCCCCCCCCCCCCCCCCCCCCCCCCCGCCGTCACCTCGCCCTGCCAAATGAGACTCACTAAGCCAGGTTTGGTTCAAGCTCACCTTCCTCGGACCTGCACTCCCTTCTGGACCCTCCTCCCCCTTGCCTCCAGGCATAATTAATTCCTCCCACCCTCTGTGGGTGACAATGTTTCCACGTCCTTTAAGAAATATGTTTCATTTCATGTGTATGTGTGCCTGAGGGTATGTATATGCACCACACAAGTGCAGGAGCCCACTGAGGTGGCACATGGATGTTGGGGAGCGAACCTGGATCCTCTGCAGGAGCAGTAAGTGCTCTTAACCCCCAAGCCATCTCTCCAGCCTACCCCGCAGCTTAAAAATATTTTATTTTTATGTGTGTCCGAGTGTATGTGCACCATGTTCGTGAAAGAGCTCACAGGGTCAGAAAAGGCTTCGGATCCTCTGGAACTCAGAAACTGAACTCAGTCCCTGGCAAAACCAGTACTCTCTAAACCGCTGACCCATAACTCCAGCTTGCCCTGCCCCCATTTGTTTTTGAAGGTCTTTCTATGTAGTCCTGGCAGTTCTGAGTCTCACTATGTAGACCAGATTGTCTTTGAACTCACATAGATTTCCTGCCTTTCTGCCTCCCGAGGGTCAGGATTAAACATGTGCCCTTCCCCACTCACTCCCCCTTAATCTATAGCCCTGGCTGGCCTAGAACACAGTATGTAGAAAAGACTAGGTTTAAATTGAAAGATCCACCTGCTTCTGCCACTGGAGTGCTGAAATTAAAGGTGCACACAACTGTGGCAGGCGCCTGTGCCCTGCCCCCTTAGTTTATAGTGAGCTATGCAAGTCTAGCTTGTTGATATCCTGAGATGTCCATGGGGAGTTAATATGACAAGTAGAAGGCTGAATATAAAGTAATGAGACTCCTTTACCTTTTTTGGGGGGGGGGGGCGGTTCGAGACAGGGTTTCCCTGTGTGACAGTCCTAGTTGTCCTGGCACTAACTCTTGTAGACCAGGCTGGCCTCGAACTCACAGGGATTCGCTGGGATTAAAGGCATGTGCCACCACCCACCGCCTGGCCTCCTTTCCCTCTTTTAATACTATGCCAGAATTCATCATCTAGGAACTGCTACCCTTGCATTTACTTTGCAAGAAAAGCTTCACCTCTCACAAGTCACCCCAGCCTACACCTCTAAGGAGCTCACAGGCAGGTAGAAGAAATAGCCGTGTGAACAGCAATCCAGGGAATAATAGGAAACAATGTGAAAGGTGAGAGGCCAATCTGCCTGTTGAAAGGACTGAGATAGATGAGCATCTAATTTAGGCAAGGAAGCAGTCTAGGATTTGAAGTATGAATAGAAGTTTTCCAGGGAGAAAGGAAGTCAAATAGAGAGAGACAAGAACATTTGCTTGCCGGGCGATGGTGGCGCACGCCTTTAATCCCAGCACTCGGGAGGCAGAGGCAGGTGGATCTCTGTGAGTTCGAGGCCAGCTTGGTCTACAAGAGCTAGTTCTAGGACAGGCTCTAAAGCTACAGAGAAACCCTGTCTCGAAAAACCCAATAAACAAACAAACAAACAAATAACTAAATAAATCAACCTACTATTGTATTCTGCTTTTCATTTTCTTTAATTTTTCATGTATATATATGGTTTATGCCTGCATGTATGTCCGTGCCACCTGTGTGCAATGCCCAAGGAAGGCAGAAGAGGGTGTTGGATTGCCTGGGAGTGGAGTTACCCCCTTGTGGGTATAGGGGAGCAAACACGGGTCCTCTGACTGGAAGATCAAGTGCTTTTAACTGCTGAACTGGCTCTTCAACACCCATTTCTTCCTTTCTTTTTCTTTTCTTTTTTCTTTTTTTTGGTTTTTCAAAATAGGGTTTCCGTGTTTAGCCCTGGCTGTTCTGGAACTAGCTTTGTAGACCAGGCTGGCCTCGAACTCACAGAGATCCACCTGCCTCTGTCTCTTGAGTGCTGGGATTAAAGTTGTGTGCCACCACTGCCCAGCTTCAACCCCTACTTTAACTGAAAAAATTTTTTTTAAAAATTTCTTTTAATTTTTGAGACAGGGTTGTATGTAGCCCAGGCTAAGCTTGAACTTGGCTTCTTACTGCCTCTGTCTTCCCAGTACTGAGGCTGTAGGCCTGTGCCAGTCTGCCTAAATGTCTCCTACTTCCACAAAACATACTGAAGGTGCACTAAAAGATGACTCACTCACATCCAGTAACTGTGAAGCTTCTTTGTTACATTGTTACTAGTCTATTAAAATGGGGCTGGAGAGGTGACTCAGCAGTTGAGAGCACTCCCTGCCCTTCAGGGGCCCTGAATTCAGTTCCCAGCATTTATATTTGGTGGCTTACAACTGCCCGTAATTCCAGCTCCACGGGATCTGGCGCCC